TCCCCACGCCCCCCGCCCCCGCCCGCATACTGAGCCCCTCTCCCCCCCGCCTGCTCCCCAAACCCCTCGTCCCCGCCCGCATACTGAGCCCCTCTCCCCCCCAGATAACCAGAATTTTTAGGTTACTGGCATGCCCTAATCCTCAGGCGTGCCAAATAACACAGGTTTTACTGTATAATAATTATGCCACCATCTCCAGAAGGTGGGATAGCCCAGAATCACAGCCTGCTTTCAAGAGATACTTGCACACTTCTGGGTGCCCAGCTAGCAGGAAGCCACCAGACCTTTGGACAGATAGTGGGTAAATTAAAGAATAAGCACCTTTCCTGACACTTTTTTAAATATAAATTGAAATCCAGGCAATTCCCCTCTCCCCCAGTTTTTCCTCCCTTGCTGTAGCCTCTCTTCCACATCCTTACACTTTTGCAAAATAAAACACGTTCTGATTACACATCTGAAGTAACCCTCTTTTCCCCTCAGCACGCATCTTTTGTGGATTCCCCAAGTAGTCTCCCAGCATTGACCTGGCCACATTGAAGAACATGGCATCGGAGCTCTCCTTTCTTAGCATGCAGAGGAATGGCCTAACTTTTCAACCTTTAACTCCTGTTGTGCTTCCTCCCCCACATTCTGCCTAGTCTGTAATTTAGAGGAGTGACTGCAACACTATAGATAGGTAGATCAAAGCAAGCTTGAAAAACAAAAGTAGTGAAGTCAATGTGGATGAGGATTATTTTGAATATGTATCCTGGGTCCTGAACAAGTAGGGCTAGCCAGTGCAGCCACTCATGTTGCAGCAGACTCATTGCTGTTATTACTCAAGCTTGCTTTGATCTAGCTGCTACATGTGGGTTAGCACTTACATGCCTTGAGGCAGCTGCATCTCTTTCATTGCTACATTAAGTCCATATTTTTATATTTAGGTGCCCATTGTAGCCAAATTATTGTACTTTAGTATTAGTCTAAGAATATAAGTATAATGATAGTAACAAGTCCTATAAGATTTGTTTGTAAATTTTGTATGCTTCTATTTCACCCCAACTCTCATGCTTACACAGTGTTTGTGGTAAGATCTTCTTCTTGTTAGCATTGCAAATTAAGTTGTATCTCTTGTCTGCATCACAAACTAAGTTATGAAAGTTTCCTTTCTTTCTGCTGTTCTTTTAGTAATTTATAGAAACCCTTCTAAACTCTAATCTTGTCTGAAACACTGTAAAATTGCTTGGTTTGAGTGAAGGATGTGTGTAAGTGTGAAAGCTATCAGAAATGCCCAAATGGTCAAGAAGAATTGGGAACCCTGAAGATAACCAGGAAACATCCATTATGCCTGAGGCTGAATTAAATTAGCAGAATTGACAGAACCCTGGAGACAGGCAGACCTCCTAGAGTAAGACAAAAACAAGCTATAACAATAGGAAGCCTGACAATAGCCATCAAAGGATAACTGTGGAAAGCCCTGAGATTAACACCTCTTGAGGATGAATGACACTGCAGAACCCATAGAGTCAAATGGAAATTTATATGTATAAGAAGGGAAGCTTTTGCCATTAGACTCTGCATTCGGTCCTGCAAGCCAAGCCTCAGAGGAACGTCAAATTTCAATCAATAGACCCCCAACTTCTCACTCAGATTGACTGAGCCACGACAGACTAGTAACTACAAATCATCTGCAGGACATGTGTGTATGAATGCATATGTTGCTTTTCACGTTGTACTTTCAGTAAATGTGACATATTGCCTTTTTTCCAGAAAAAGATCCTATGTGCTTCTTATAAGCATAACACCATACAGCTTTGAAAGTTTCAGCATAAATATACATTTTACCTGTCCACTTTTGTGGGTTCTCGATCTTTCAGCCAGTCACGAAAATTAGCCCAGTGATCAGCAGATGTCCAAGGTTTTTTTCCCATAAAAAAGTCTGGGCAGATGGCGCTGTATGAAAAATAAAATGGAGTTGACTTTTAGGTCCATATAATGGCAAAAGGGATGATCTATGCACATCTAAATAATCTAAACAGTGCCCAGACCGACCCTACAGCTAGCTTATAGGAGAAAAATCTTCCAGCTAACATGCACATGTGTGCACAGATATCTAACTGGAATGCACGTGAACAACATTTGAAGAATGTACAATTCTTGTTAGTATTTCTAATTATATTACAGTTAAAGCGGTTCATTTTTTTTTTAATGACCCACATGGCTCGACACTCAAACACAACAGCCTTTTGTTGGTGCATTTTTTAGTGTACTGCACCTTGACATTTCTCAGAACTCTCTGTGTGCCATCACCATGTTCTGAGAATTGTTGCTGCCTGAGCAGCAGGAACCTATTCTACACCAGGATTTGTCAGGTATCACTTTTATGTGGCTTTTATTCTAAGACAAGTAATTCAGACTGAAATGGCATGATTTCTCATTTTGTATGGAAAATACTATTTGGAAATTTGAATCAGATGAAGCTGAGAGTGTCTCTTTGAAAAGAAATCAAGACAATAATGCTTACACGTATCCCGCAGCTGCCACTAGATCAGTTATGTATCTAATGTCTGGGAATTGCCATCCGTATATGTCATGAATCACCATCACAGCTTTGTCCGTGTCAAAAGATGGTTTGCAAACGTATGCTTTGATATGCTCCACTTGCTGTTCATGTCCAAGGTTCACATAATTAGTTCTTTTTCCAGTATCATATAGGAATGGTACAGCATCTGAAGCCATCGGAAAAGCTAAATTAGAAATGAAAAAAGATATTACAATATTAGCATATGATAAATTAAAAACAAGTTGGGTTTAAAAATATTGTCTTGAGTGACATTGCAACATTTATGAGTAACCTGAATATATCACGTCTGAAAGGGAAAATTAAAACTTAATTTTAATGTTCAACTGGGAAACTTTTTGGACAGGTCTCAACCAATCTTGTTAACAACCCAAAAATGAAGAAAGGAAGATAAAAAAGCAAAGTTAGCACAACATTTGGGGCCTGTTTCTAATATCACACCTTTTTAACCTTAGGCAACATTAACTTCAAAGCAGTTACTCTTGATTTCCACTGGTGTGAAAGGAGAAACAGACCCATTATAATACAGTTTGATGGTCAGCCAATAATCATGTTACGTGAAGAAAATGCTGGAAGTTGTAAGTAATAAGGCATGTGGATTTGGACTGGTTATCCTGTGATCAAGTGCATGGATAGTAAATTGCAAATCAATAAGTGCATATATAATAGTTAATGATACAATTTAGTCACAGATACTGTGACTTTAATGAACTTCTATGACTTCTTTGGCTGCCAGTCGCCATGACAGTCAGCATCCTCTTTCCCCTGCTGTCTGCTCTTCCCCTGTTATTGTTAGTAATAGTCAGGGAAAGGTTGCAGGCTTCCATGAATTTTTGTTTATTGCCTGCTACCTGTCCATGACCTTTACTAAAACAACTGTGACAACATCTTAACCTTAACAATAGTCAGCCTGGGGAACAGAAGACATCAGCCTTTGAAGGCTAATATCACAAACCCAAACAGTTTCTCTCTAGCTATGGCGGTAAATTTACGCTCAATATCAGAGGAAAGTCTCAGAGGGGTAACCGTGTTAGTCTGCAACTTTAAAAACAATGAGTAGTCCTGTGGCATCTTAGCCCTGGTGTACACTAGGGAGTTATTTCAAAATATCTCCCCTTATTTCAAAATAACAAGAAGAGCATCCACTCGACCAAGCCTGTTATTTTGAATAAGGGGCTGGTTATTTCAAAATAGTAACTCCTACTTTCCTTGGGGAATAACCTTATTTCAAAATAGTTATTTCAGGAGTTATTATTTCAAAATAATTTCCTGGTGTAGAAGTAACCTTACGGCACATCTACACAGCACCATTATTTGGAATAACTGATGTTATTTCAAAATAACAAAATGCATGTCGACACACAAGCAGATATTTCAACATGCCAAAATAATGTCCAGCCAAAAGGACTTCTTACTCTGACTCCTGTAACCCTCATTTTATGAGAATTAAGGGAAGTAGGAGGAAGAGTGCTCTATTTTGAAATAAGTGCTGTGTAGACGTGCCCAAATTCAAAATAAGTTATTTTGACTTATGCTACACAATTAGTGTAGCTCAAGTTGCATAACTTATTTCAAGTTTAGCCCTGCTGTGGACATGTATCCTTAGAGACTAACAAAAATAAATATAGTATCATGAGCTTTTGTGGGCAAAACCCACTTCAGAGGAAAGTGAATTCCAGAATAAAGATGAGGGTGATGATATTAAAGATGGCACTGGTAGCAAGGCCCACGCTTAAAGTTGTTCCAATATTAGACCATGCTTTGAGGATCTTGGCCACACTTAAAACCATTTGGGCCAGGGACCTAGGCTAGTCAGTGGTCCACACAAGTGGCCTTCCTTAATCGCAGTGAACTGCAAGATTGTGGTAATTAAGAGGGTTTTCTGGGATATAATAGTTTTGCTAACTGTGCTTGCATACCTAGAATTTGCAGCGTGTCAGTTGAACCATAACAATGCTTTGATTGGATGCAGAGAAAGCACATGACTATCAGTCAATGTTGTATGCCATCAGCATGCACCTCACTCACATGCTCTTCTTTTACCTGCATGTTACTTTAGTAATACTGGTAGGGAAAAAAACTATGCACATGGAAACCAAAGGAATTTGGCAACCCTGTACATGAGCAACAGTAAACAAAGTGTCTTGTGGGCCACACATCGAATCCTCCTGGTTTGCATGTAGGGTTGCCAGGTGTCTGGTTTTCTGCCGGACAGCCCAGTATTTGCACCCTCTGTCTGGCAGAAAAATTCAGAAAATACCAGACATGTGCAATGTCTGGTATTTTCTGAATTCCCAGCTGGGCACTGGACGGAAGCCTGGCAGGGGTGGGGGAGCGACTGGGAGGCGGGGCCGTGATTGGCGCTAGGAGCCTCTGGTTGCGTGCA